CTGCCACTGAGCTACAGCCAAATTAAACACCTTTTAAAAGTCTGTTTTGGGACCAGGGATGTGGCTTTGTTGGAGAGCATCCACTCAGTATGCACAAAGATCTGGGTTCAATCTCCACCAAAAACATAAAATGTAAAGTATGTTTTCATGTATTAAATAAACTGAAATGCCACTAGCACCACTGAATACAAATCCTACATTTTCAAGGTTTTAAATGTGGAGTTTCATGGAATTGAGTTCACTAATATAATCATTTTGATCAACAGTTTTTTAATGAATTTATTTTTTATACTTTTATTTTATATATTTATTTTTATTGGTGGTGAGGGTCTAACCCAGTCCCTCCCATGTACAAGGCAAATGCTCTACCACTGAGCTGCCTCAGGCACTGACTGATGGTTTTTTTTTTTTTTTTTTTTTTAACCAATAAATTATACTAACACATACACAAGTAGTTCCTTTAACTAAATCCCTAAAAAGAAGGAAAAATGCTTCCTCCGTCCCCTGAAGTGGGAGAAGCCCTGGTCTGAAGCAATTCTTTAAGAATTGGCTCTGCTGCCATTTCTCATCAATGGGGCCAGACAAGGCCAACGGTATCCAAGGGGTGGTAAGAATCAGGTTCTTGTTTCTGGAAATCAGAAGGACCAAATGGGAGCTGGGCTGCTATTTTACAAGCACAAGACCATTAATCCCCTTACCTTACTGTGGATACAAGAGCATGTTGTTCCTTTTCAGATCACAAGACTTATCCTTGAATAATTAAGCAGAGGAAGAAATCCATTACATACCCTAAACCAATTAACTCAGAAAGAGAAAGCCATGCCTGAGTTACACTTCTACCTCTATTGCTAAAAGTGATAAATTACCTAAATGTCAAATTTTGCATAAACTAGAGAAATAAATTTCCCTGTTTACCTGGAAAATAGACCATAAACTTTAAATGTAGACCATAGTTTTCTTGGAAACTCCTTAGAACATTAAAAAATTCCCGTGAAACTGCTTTAGTAAATCTGGCCTAAATCATGTCATAAATGGTGGAAAATACTGGTTGCCATCATCAATCTAACTCCCAAGGAAAACTCAACCTAATCTAATGAAACATAGACATTACTCTTGAATTCATTTTTTCATCCATCTTCCATTCTAGTTTTCTAAAAAATCCCAGCAAATATCAAGAAACCCATTTGTTAAGAACTCTAAATAATAATGGTTGAAGGAATTGATTGGTTCCTTTCTTCTTTTTTTTTTTCTTTTAGTTGCAGTTGGATACAATATCTTTTATTTTATTTATTTATTTTTATGTGGTGCTAAGGATGGAACCAAGGGCCTCGCATGTGCTAGTTGAGTGCTCTACAGCTGAGCCACAACCCCAACCCCTGGTTTCTTTCACATTTAATCTATCTTCCTATCTCTACCACAGCCAGGTTCATGGACACAGGCTGGGGCAGAACAGGAATTGGTATACGCATGCTTTTACACTCATGCCCAGCACACAGCAGGACTTCAGTGTAGGTTACTCAATTCCACAGATCTGACTTCCTAGATGGCAATGAAGGAAGAAATAGATGTTTCTCACACCACTGCCTTTGGCCCCTCTGTCAGTGCTTTCTTTCTCACCAGATGGCATCTGCAGCAGATAGTGTAGCCTCCCTGTCACTTCCGGCTCCTAATTAAAACTGGAACCTGCAGGTGCTCTCCTTCCAGCAGGTCTGGCCCAACCAGAGGCACTGAGTGTGGGCCCAGCCCTTCACCCTCTGGGCTCTGCTTCTGCCCTATACTCACTCCCCACCCCCAGCTTCATCCTGGCTCATTTAGAAGTGGGGGCAAGAGAGGTGGGATCAGACAAGACAAGCAAAGAAAGGCAAAGTGCATTCTCACTGCCCAGGGCCCTCTGTGGCTCCCTCTTGCTGTTGGTGGTCCTTGGTCGTGGTAGGCAACCAGAAGCTCTCTATTCAGAGTGCTCCTATGGGGTCTTTGGGGAGCCCTGCGAGATCTTCTGCACTGATGGTGTCCCAGAAAAAGGTGCTGCACTCTCACTTCTTCCAGTCCCCCCTCACAACCATGACTTGGCCTCCAGTGGTGCACCTGAGGCCTCAATCCACCACCTTGCCTTGCCCTGCAGTTGATTTTCTGCTCAACAGGCAGTGACTACATCCAATTCTTCTTGGAAGCTTCCTCCTAGGCACAGGAATGTATTTAGGTACTGACTGTTGAGAGAGCTGCCCTCTCTCACCCCATCTCCAGATGGATCAAGCCAGCCCTACAACTTTGGACTTGTCCAGCTGAGAGGCTAGCGGTCTTCTCTGTCCCACTGCACACCCAGTGACTTGGGATGCCATCCTATCTCTAGAACCCTAGCTGCTACTATTCTGGTGGCACCTGGACAGAATCCTGAGAATGTCTTTGATTGGGGAGCAGCCAACCAGGAGATAATATGCCATCTCCCCTCTCACAGACACCTCCACCCTCTGATTCTATCAGTTCTCTACCTGGCTGGAGGTGGCAGGCAAAAGAGAAGAGACCTCACCCCATACACATGAGCTCTGGTGTGCAATGGGCACCATCTAATCCTCATGGACCCAACTGTCCACACCCTGACTGGCTGCATTGGTGTCTGCACAGGAACCCATTCTGCCCTAAGCTCCCTGGGGAAGGGAGTGGCACTCTCACAGCCCTCTCTGCAGGCCCACACCTGCTGGCCCTCTGATCCTCTTAGGGAATCCCAGGCTTGCCTTCTACCACCCACCTGCTCCCGGTGCCCTGACCAGATCGGCTCTCCAGCAAGTTCTGCATGGATGCAGCAGGACCTCTCTTCAGAAGTCACATTCTCTTTCTGAGCCCATCATATACTCATGTCTTAAGTATATACCAATTCTAGATCTAGACATATGAACTGGCTTCCTCAGGAGAGAATGAGCTCTGCATCACTAATGGTAATTAAACCTAATGTGAGTTACTGTAGTAAGGAGGGGGTCAGAGGTGGGTGAAAATGAGAGAGGATTCAGCTTTCTCTGAGTTACTTGAATCTCTACCTTCAGTTCGTCAAATGTGTTTTATTTTCTGGACTGAACAGCATCTTCACCGTCTTTTCCAATATTTATGAATAATCAGAGAGGCAGAAGAGTGAGTTTCAACTCTATCATGCACTATGTACCCCCCCTTTCCACAGGAGAAGCCTGGGCATTCAGAATGCAGCTTTCTTTGTGGAAGGGCATGTAGAATACAGTCCAGCACATGGATTACATCTCAAACACATCCTGCTCATCACTCACTTCTCTGACAGCAGTACTGCCAGGACTCACACTACCTGAGCCTTCACAGAAAAACTTTTACTGATCCCTGTTCTAGTTCTGTACTTTTTGATATTTACAACTGGCAACACAAGAGTATAGATACCCTAGGTGTAAAAGTCCAAGCAAAACACATTTTGTGCAAACTGATCACATATTCTTAGACTCCTACAATGTCTCAGCTTCTGAAAGAAAACATTCCAAAGATGAATTCTTCAATACTAATCCAAAATGTCACATATTTAGTTGATTTTTTACCAGGAAAGGGAACATTTTGCATAGCCATGCATCAGGTAATTTGAAGGTACTTACAGGGAGTAATAGTGCCATGAACACAGCAATGTATAAAACCTGCAAACAAGAAGGAGTAGTAGAGAACACACAGACACCACACGGATTAGCACTGCCAGATAACCAGTGGCTTTGTTTCCTTTTCAATTTCTTATAATATAATCACCTTGTTTTTACTGAAAAAGTTTTATATAGTTGTGAAAAGAATGCTGCAGTTTTATACCATAACAGTAAATACTTTTTCTGTGAAATAAGAACAGAATTTACTATATCTCCTTGCAATGTTTTGACTCATGTGGAATATTTTGGTTAAAAGTATACACTAAAAATATACATGAGGGCTGGGGTGGTGGCTCAGAGGGATAGCGCTCACCTAGCATGTGTGAGGCACTAGGTTTGATCCTCAACTCCATTTAAGATAGAATGAAGATATTTTGCCACCTATAACTCAAATTATAATATTAAAAAAATATATACATGACATTATTACATCAAATTAAATCCAATATTATATATAACTATAATGCATTAATAAAAACACTAACAAGCCTTATATACCCATACTGTCTCAGATAGAGCTGAGCTGAGGCTGAAGGATGCACTGAAGAATTATGGAAGATATTTAACACTCCATATGTGACACCTACCAATCTAAATGCTCCTCAGCTGTCAACAAGTATACCCTTACAGATGTGTATGTCTCCCAATACCAGTGGAGACTGGTTCTGTCCTCAGCTAGCAAGTGACACTAAGAATGACTGGTGGGGGGGCTGGCTGGACAAGCCAGCTCCCAAAGAGAAAGGAACCCACACCCAGGTTCTCCATCCAGCTTACCAATCAGATAAGACATTTCACCTCTCAAAGGGAGGCACCAGAGAGGGAGTAGAGAGAAACCAGGAGTGTTACCCTCATCACAAATAGTGAAGGAAGGAAACACCATGAAGAGAAGATTCCTCCAGTGTAACAGAAAAAAATGCAAAACTATTCAAAGTTGTTCTATGTGCTTTTAAAGAAAACTTCCAAGTTGCTATGACAGACACCAGTTAGGGGAAGAACCTATACATATTTCTGTTATTTTTCAAGGTGAGAATAGAGTTCCTTACTACCTGCCTATTGATCCATCTGTCCACCCTTCTTCAAGAAAAGTTATATGTATACAATAGAAACACAGAAGCTTAGGAAATATAACTGCAATTTTGGAAGTTAGTTATCTTCATATTGCCTGCGGAATGAAGAGCACCATTGAAACATGATATAAGATGTAAGCCAAGCTACATTACAAAGGTCTTTTAATGTTTAATACAAATAAAGGACCCTTCCAATTGGCTAAAATTTATGTTCAAGATCAAGGATTAAAATAATCCACTGTCTTACATATTATTGCAAATAATCAGTTAAGATTTTGTACTGTTTGCTTACTCTGTTGTTTCTCTGTTGGGAACTTTTCTCATGGAGAAAGCCACCATCGCTCTGAAGAGAGATTCTTCATTTGTATCCCAGACATACTGAAAGAGAAGGAAAGAGAGGTATGGGGTTAAAAACAGTCCATTATGGGGCTGAGGCTGTAGCTCAGTGGTAAAGCACTTGCTTTGCATGTGTGAGGCACTGGGTTCGATCCTCAGCACCACATAAAAATAGTAAAGATAATATGTGTTTATCTATAACTAAAAAAATATTTTTAAAAAACACTCCATAAGATGCTACACTCATTCTCATAGTCTCCACACTTCCATCCCATCTCCTTTGTACACAGAAAACTGGAGAACATGATAAATCATGTACCATAGCTTCTGGAGTAGGGCTTTTGGGACATTCCATAATTCCAAATTTGATGTGTTTCCTTTTGTGCTCTTTCTTAGAAACTGCCATATTAGTAGCCAGTCAGTCAATAAGGCATTTGGACAAATCATCCTTGCCATATAGTATAAGAGTTTAAAAATAGTCAAATGGTTCAGCATAGCCCCTACCTTTTAATAATGTATGTGTTTCCAAAATTAGTTTTACTCAGAATAACTGTAGTCCAATCTAATAAGATCAAGACATAAAGAAGAAACTAGTCCAGTTATAGACAGCAAACAAACACTATTCAAACAGGGATGCACTGTTTTCAGATTGGAGAAATGGGGAATAAATCTGTTCAACTATAGGAGAATGATAATCCACTATAGCAAATAACAATGAAAGATGCTAACCAGACCTTGCCAGAGCATGAATTTAAATTGCTTTTCAGATCTTGGAGATGATCTGACTTGATCTCCAGTCCTTTCATTGGTTCCCCTTAAAAACAAGAATATGATTTGCCTCAGTAGGAGTCCCATTGGGGTCACAGAGCAAAGCCCCAAACTACGTGGAACAGTACAGGACTGACCAGATCCATATCAAGATGGATATCCTGTAACCCTCACCAGTTGATCTTGAGTAAGGGTGGAAGGATTGAAAGCGAGTGCACTGAGGTTACATATTTCCACAAAGGCATTCAAAATGTTTCACTGCGTCTCTACATAGAAAAGGAATCGAGCACATGTACCACATAAGAAGAAAATAGACAACTTAAGAGAGGATAAGAAAAGAGGTGCCAATTTAAACACAGGAATAATTTCTGACCCAAAATTCCACTCCTGGCTAAAGAGTCCTGCAAAAAGAAAGGTGTGGAAAACATATATACAAAAAAGTTCACAGCAGCTTAAGTACCTGTTGCACATACTACTTGATGCATAACAGGTGCTCAAAAAGTATGTGAAACTGAAAACATCTTTACATACCACATGTGACTCCACAGACCACATGGAGCATGAGAGACATATTTATTCATCCATCAGTTCAGATTCCTTGGTTCCTCACTTCAATAACATTTATGCCAAGGCCCTAATGTCCCAGCTCACCTTGCTTTCTGCATACATCTCAGGACCCTCAAACCCAGGCCAAACCCAAATTTTAGGTGAGTAATACAACATAATTGGAGAAAAATCACAAAACAGGGACTATTGGCTTAACTCTAAATTCATAATGACCTACCCCCAAATTGCCTGGGAATCCCTTAGGTTTCCTCTCTCTCTCTGATGGCTCACAGGACTATTTTAACCTCCTATAGGTCTGCTGACTTATTATGCTTTCCTTCACACCTCACTTTCACTAGACACTGTTGCTTTATACTTTACAGATACATCTAAAGTCATCAAGTTGAACTCCCTCATGCTCTTGACACCAAGATACAAAACTTCGTCTACAGAAGCACACCCTGTCCATCTTCTCCCTTGAAGGGCCAGACATGCGGTGCCTCTCCTATCAATGGCTATTCCCCCTACCTCTATTAGGAATGGCTTTCCTGGGCCCTTCTGATCATATAAACAACATCAGTTTCCCTTCCTCTTCTGTGTATTCAAATCTACCTGCAGCCTGTCCACTGCTCAAACTTTTCCCATTGAGACAACAGTACAAATAAATCACTTCACTCACTCTTCCCTTCATTCATGCACCATCTCTCTCCTACTCTTCATAGTCAAAATGCTCAAAGCAGTTGTCCATACTTCTGTTTACACATGTTCACCACCCATTTATATTTCATTCCACCTACAACACTCCCTCTAATATCTGCCTTCTGGCTGTCAATCCACAAAAGAGGCTCTCTCTAAAGTGACCACTGACCTCCACATTGCTTAACACAACAAGCGTGTGTCACCGTTCATCTTGCTTAGCTTCCCAACAGCATTTGAGGCTCTCAAGCACTTCTTTCATGTTCAAGCAAAACTGTTTCATGCAGCAGCCTGCATACTCCTGGGCCCGGTCCCTTTCTGAAACTACAAACATGATGACATGCCACTTTGCTTTTTACTGCCCCAATTCCAGACACCTTAGCCTTCCTTCCATCCCTCATGCTTAGCAAGCGCCTTCACATATGCTGTTCCCTGTGTCATTCCTTCTTTCATCCATAGTTCACTTCAACTCATGGACCTTATAACAGAAGGGCCAGATACTAAGGATCCTGATGAGGCCAAAGCTTGTAATATTGTCAAGATTGCACATTTGCTTTTCTTTACTACATCTTTAATGGATGACTGATTCTCCCACTACCATAATCCACATAGGGCAGGGACAAGTCTGATTTTAGGGTCAATGCATCTCCACCACCCAGCATGGCACCCACTCTAAGGATCTTAGGATGAGAAACCTATACACTGGGTTAGGGGAAAGGGTATAGAGTGGATTCTGCTGTAGTCTGCCTGGATTCAGATCTGACCTCTATCACTTGGTGGCTTAAGGTCCTGAAAGGGTCACTTCATTTCCTTGCATCTCAGTTTTCTTACCCATCCAATGAAAATAAGAGTACCTATACCACTTTCCTTAAAAAGTTGTTGTTAAGGGCTATATGAGCTGATAGCAGTCAAGTGCTTACAAGGCTCCCTGCTAAAAAGTAAATTAAGTTCGCAGTCAATTCTGGGTGTTATTAACAATTATAATTCACCAAGTAAATAATACAATGATATGTTGGTGGACTGTCCTGTAATAGAATACCTGAAAATTCTTTTAGCACATTTTTTTGGGGGGGGTTCTAGTTGGAGGCCTCTTAATGACACCTGTGGGGGAGTAATTTGCACATCACTCTGGGAAGCTGACACTGAAATTTGATAATAACTGACTTATTAATTCAAGTCTCTCTACTGTTTCTATATCCACAGAGGCCCTGTGAGTATTTCTAAACTTTGGTTTCAAAAGCATATGACATAGTGTCACTTTGGTAGTTGTAAAGAATTTAAACTTTACATTAGAATTTGAATTCTTGTGCTATGAAAGACTTTCTATATTTAGTAGCATTCCTTCTTTTCTATGACTAGAAAACAAGCTGCCCAGATTCCAAGGACTACAACAATGAGGGGCAGATCCAACCCAGACCCTCAGTCTCCTTAGCTCCACAATGCTGGATTAAGTGGTTCAAGTTCTCTAAATTGGTGCCATACAAAACTTCAATGTCTTCCTGCATACATTACAGATAAAGAACCTCAGGCAAGCCTATTGTAAACAATTTCTATTTTAGGATACTCTA